AGTATTTCTTTTTATATATGCTTTGTGGCTTTTTGATAGGGGGAGATTTTTCCTATCTGTTTAGACTCACCATGCTTATATGTAGGGGGGGTTTTCGCTTTCTTTTTCTTATTTTTGTCCACATTTTGATGTTGCGAAAGGGAGAGAAAAATATATTCTGTGAGTATCTCGTTTATTTCTTACTATTGGAATCATGCATGAAGATTATAAATTGTATATTCATTTGGTATAATGTATATTTTCTATACTTATCGTGTAGATTGTTTGTCATCATAAAAAAGGGGGAGATTGTTAGGTCTCGTGTTTATGAGCGTATTGTCTAATCTGGTTTTAATGATTAATAAACAATTCCTAACATTATTTTTTAGTATTTGTATTTTCTTGTTAGGTATCCTATACAAACATCCAACGTTGATCGTTAGATGGACTAGGGTTTTAACGATGATATTCATGGAGGTTGGAGGAAATCGAAATAAAGCGTTATGCCATTTAAGTCAAAGACACACTATCGCTTCATCCCCGCTACTAAGATCGAGATTAACGAAGATTATTTGCTTGGATATAGTATTTTTAGGTTTTTACTTTATGTGTTTATACTTAAAGCTCAAACCATGCACGTACACGTTGTTTCAGTTTATCGTATTATATATCTATTTGGGAATATATCATGTTTTTGGATTTTTGACTTAATGATACTATTTTACATCTTTTCTAAAGTATATTAATCCATTTAAAAGTACCTCAAAACTTGTTTGAAATAGTTTCATCAAAATCAAGTGTTCAACAAACTCGTATTTTTTGACCGTTTTGTAAAATAATAACTTTTCACAAATGGAAAATGTTATTTAAAAAATTCCTCTTCTAATATATTCATTTTCATATGTAGAACGTTTCCCCAAGTTTTACTATTTTTGGAGTTGTTTTACTATTTTAAATAAAATTTAGAAAATTAACTTTTTAAAATTCAGGAATCTGTGTATCAGTTTTTTAGATGACAGAATTCTTGGATTTTGAAAAACTGATTTTCTAAATTCGATTTAAAATAGTAAAACAACTCCAAAAATAGTAAAACATGGGGAAACATATATACATATGAAAATGAATATGTTAGAAGAGGAATTTCTAAAATAGCATTTTCTATTTGTGAAAACTCATTATTTTGCAATGAAACTCGTATTTTTTGACTGTTTTGCAAAATAATGAGTTTTCACAAATGGAAAATGCTAATTTAGAAACTACCTTTTACTAATTTTTAAAAGAATATAAATTTTAAGAAAATTACCTTTTACGAAACTATTATTTAAATTTTTTTTTTTTTACAAATTTGAACTTTATTTTGAATTTGGATTGGGTTTGAAGAAAATTAGAATTCTGTTGAAAAATCAGATTTTTAAAATTTTGGTTTTCAATTTTTAATTTTAAAAAGGAATTTCTCTAAGAAATTAAAAGTTTATAAGGAATTATATGTTTTGGGTAGAATTTTTTTTTAAATTTTAGCTTATTTTTGCAATTTAATAAAGATATTCGTTGTTTGATTTTTTTTCTTGAAGTTTTCTGAGCTTTTTAGACTTTTTTTTGAAGTTTTGAAATCTTTAAAACGTGGTTTTTTTTGGGATAGTTGTTTTTTAATCTCAAAATCTATAGTAGTTTCTATATCGCTTTTATGTGACATTACAGTCAGTTTTGGGCTGTTCTCTAACTTGTGGTTAGAGTATGAGTTATTTGTATCCGTGGTATGTAGTTAGTTTTGAACAAATGTACATATTCTAGGTTGGGGATATGTACCTATTATGTAACAACCATCTTTTGTTATTTAGCTGGCTGGGATATTTTTATGGTATCCCATCCTTTCTCTCAAAAAAAAAAGCTTCAAATAGGCTTGAACTCGATCAGATCCCTTTGTTGAAGAGTCTTAATTCCTTTTTTAACGTTTCCTCACATTTTAACAAATTAAAATTTCACTCTTTTCACTTTGAGATATTGAATTTCTATTTTGATGACGACTGCAAAAGATTTGGGTTAATTTTGTTTGGTTAATTTTGTTCAATAATTACTCTATTTAGTAAAACTATTGGAAGGTGCAGGGTCGATAAGCACGCTAGAGGGTACAATGTATCTTCAATATCTTAATAGGAAAATATACATATATGCCTTTTCCCCGTAAACTCAAAGTGTACCTACAATTTCTTCTTAAGCCTACCCACGACTATCAATTTCTAAGGGCCAAATGCTCTACCATTATAAAAAAGATATAATAATATAATAATATAACAAAGTATATTATAAGGACAAATTTTCAAAACCAACCCTTTTGGTTTTTTATTTGTAAAAAACGACCTATTTCAGTTTTATTTGCAAAAACCGACCTGGTTTCAGCCTCAGCGCTGAAACCAGGTCGGTTTTTGAAAAAAAGTTTCCGAAACTTCACTCAACTCCCGTGAAGTTTAGCAGCTTTTAATTAAGCTGCTAAACTTCATGGGAGTTCAACTCCCGTGAAGTTTCACAGTTAAAAAAAAATTGAACTGTGAAACTTCACGGGAGTTGAACTCCTGTGAAGTTTAGCAGCTTAATTAAAAGCTGCTAAATTTCACGGGAGTTCAACTCCCGTGAAGTTTCGAAAACTTTTTTTTAAAAACCGACCTGGTTTCAACGCTGAGGCTGAAACCAGGTCGGTTTTTACAAATATTTTAAAAATGGGTCGTTTTTTACAAATAAAAAATCAAAAATGTTGGTTTTGAAAATTTGTCCTATATTATAATAAACATTTACTTCTCTAAAAGACAAATACTTAGATCATTGTTTCGCTCTAATTTAAACCCACTCATTTTTAAGTCACTTTTCGACACAAAAATCTCCATTAAATTATTATCAAACTCATCTTATACTTCATTGGTTTTGCACTCACTATGTTTTGTTCTAAGTGTTTAGATAATTGGTGTATTTTGAAGACAAAAACTTAGATCATTGTTTTTTCTTCTTCTTCCTTTTTCCTCCTTTTCACACTATCATCATGTTATGTCAACCTATAAATGGATATGTTGCCCAGGAATCTAAAGTTCCACCCTTCTTTATTTTTAAACAGAAAGACTTTTAAAGATAATTTTTTGCTTAGAAACCTAGAATTCATCACACATTTTTTTAACCCACTCGTTTCCAAAAGTCTATCCGAATTACTCTAATTTAAGTTTAAACCCACCTAATTCAGAAAAAGGCTTTTAAAAAAAAACCAATGTTTATCCTGCTCTATTTTAAACACATCCACTTCCTGATGTACTCTTGAACCCCCAATAACTCAATAAATTTTTTTAAACCCATCCACTTCCTAATTTACACTTGAACACAAAAAACTCCGCTAAACTATTTTAAATCCCAATTTGTAATTCAGCAATTTGGTATAAGGTGTAAGTTGCTAAACTATTTTTGTCTCCAATCTGTAATTCAACAATTTGGCATATGGTGTAAGTTGCTACGTTTATTCTAAGTAGTTAGGTACATGATTTTTTTTAAAGCCAAATGCTTTCACAATTATTTTAAGGCTTTTTTCATGCTAATGTCGCGACATGGGAAACTGTTTATGAGTCATTTTTTTTCCTTCAGAGCCAACGTCTTGCCCCCATTTATTTTCAAACACATCCACTTGTAGCAAAATAAACAGTAACCAAACTTTGGTCTGATACGCAAAAAATCCTGATCCAAAATGTCCATTTTTATCGGTTTAATAAACGGTGTAAGTGTTGAATGTTATGTTTAGGTATGATTTGCGACATTTTTATTTTAGGGCCTGCTCGTTTGTTTTCTGAAAACCAAGAAATTGAAATGGAAATGGTGAAAATCTCAAAACTCACAATTTCCTCCATTTCCATCCCTAAAACTCACCCACAACATCCAATAAAATATTATTTCCATCCAACAACTCATCCACATCATCTAATAAAATATGATTTTCATCTAACCACTCATCCATTACATCTAATAAAATATTATTTTCATCTAACAACTCGTCCATCACATCTAATAAAATATTATTTTCATCCAAACATCACTCAACTCATATCTTCTCATCATTTCAAATCACTCACATCATCCAATAAAATATTATAACAATTCACCTCATCTCATTAACATTTCATTTCTTCATTTTCATCCCAAAAAGTTATGAAAACACTTTTCTTAATCTTTCTTCACATCACCCAATAATACAATGACAACTCATCTCATCTCATTTCATTTCTTATTTTTAAGAATGAACCGAACAAAAGAAAACAAGAAACTACATGAAATAGGTTTCTTATAATTCATTTCCTTATTTTTTTTCGCCAACCGAACACTCCAAAACTAGTTTTCTTAAAAAATCACAAACATCATCCAATAATAAGGTGACAACTAATATCATTTCAATTTCATTTCTTTGATTTCCTTCTTTTTTAGCCAACCAAACACTCCAAGAACAATTCTTCATTTTAATAGTTTTCCATTTCTTTGATTTTCCCCTTTTTTTTTTATGCAAACGAACAGGTTAACGATAACGACTAGCCACTATGTAATCAAGACCCACCCGAGACCGGCATGTTTCTAGACTTTCCCGTAACACTGGTCGCTCCGTGTCATCTGCCCTGAAAGCAAAACGAGATCTGCGCCGATATTTTACGTTATACTGATCGGTGGATAATTAGTTAATTACCCATCAGGCGATAGGATACGCACCCGTTACGCTCCAATCTATCACGGTACAGCGTAGTAGCCCAGAAGAAGAGGAAAAAGAAGAGCCCAAAATGGAGAGGAGGAAAGCGAGGCAGGCCGAGACGCGCTGACGAGGATAGCCGCCGTCCTCCGCATGTCATGGTTACGCGCTCCGCCTGTCAGTGCGGGATCCATCCGATCCACGTGGGACGCCAATCGTCCTCCCGCCGCGGAGCCCGAGTCAGGCCCAAGCTCTACGAGTTGGCAAGCTTCAGCCGGCCAAGCGAATGGGCAGGATCGCCGACTCCAACGGATAACGCCTAGCGCGTTCAGACCGCTCATGGCGCCCGCATCGGATCTGGCGCCGCAACGATCAACGCCATCGCCGCCCTCGCCGACCACCTACTTGGACCCCAGGTTATCTCAAAACCCTTTTGATATCGAGAATTTGGAATGTCTTATCGCTGTAACCCTAGCCAGAAATCACGCGGCATTGAGAAAACTAGGTAGAAATCATACCTCTCTTGAAGTAAATTCCCTCTTAAATAAACCCCGATGAAGATTTTCATAGAGATTTCGCTCGCAAGAGAATGTGGGATAGAGGGTAATCATAAAAATAAGGCTTGTGTACAAGTGGGGTAGCTAAGCTAGGGGAAAGATGGCAAGTATTCAGCATGGGACAAGGGGCCACTATATTAATGGTTGGCATTGGCAACGGCTTAGAACAGGCTCCCCCAAGCAAACTGAAGCTTTAGATTGTTGTATTTACTTTTGCCGTCTTTTACTTTCCACTACCGTTTAGTTCCTTATGATTTTGCTGCTTTTAGTTGTAATAATTTGGTCTTATAAGTTAATTTATTTACTTGAATGCAATTTACTTTCCTCACAATTTACTTTTCTTGCAATTTATTGCTTTCCAATCAATCAGGCTCTAAAGGCAACCTGCTATCTTATTAGGAGTAGTTTAATCTTTGTTGTCCTTGAACTCCTTTTGTAGCAATTTCATGTAAGTTGGATTTACAAATTAGGAGTAGATTTATGGCAATGTAGTACTGGTATTTAAAGTTGGTTTAACAGTGAAGCCACCATGCTCAGACAAAACATCATGTCAGATTGTCTTGCTATCTTATTAGGGGCGTTCTTTAATAGAAAACACAACTCCAAGCCATACTATCAATTTTCCAATCAGGAGGGACTTCCTCTCGTTGGAGCGTATTCTCTATGGTTTGAACCACTGAACCTTACTAGCGGCTGATTTTAGAGCAAACAGACAATGGTAATATAATGTGAAGCCTTATTGTTGTATGCGGAAGGTCTGAGCCTATTCTAACAGTGCACTTGATCCAACTTTTAGGTGTATAATGTCTTATGTGTTACATCTTCTATGAAGCCAGCCAAAAAACTGGTTCGGAGCTATCAATATAGCAAATCTTTCCCATCTAAATTTGATGATCAAGAAACTCATTTTAGGATTCATGCATTTTGGTTGGTCTATGTTGCATGAGGCATCCCAAAATTAACAGGTTTTTCTCTTTGTCCGATATTGGCCCTTCTTATCTTGAAATCAGTCTCTCAAATTATTGAAATTGTTATCTAGTCATTGAATTTTTATTAATTCTTTAAATTAGTTCCTCTGTGAGGTTTCCCATCCGATGTACTAAATTGAATTGGGTTACTGATTAACCCAACTTGGTGCATTAGATTTATACACTCAATTAGTCATTCCCTGCAAAATCTCAAGTTCCCTCTCTACCTCTAATTCCTCTTTCTAGAAAGGAAAAATCAATATCCCAAATCAAGAGAAATTTATCTCAAATGTCTCCCCATTCAAATGCCAATTTCCTCAGCTTTCCCCTTCAAACTGCCCCAATGTTGACTGATAGAGCAACTTACTTGATGGACATTAGGGTAGATTATAGGATTTGATGGGTTTTCATGGGTGGGGAAGAAAGAATAATTAATGTGCATGTCTTTTATACACTTTTGAGTTTAAGCAGGTGTACGAAATGGGTTTGATTTTAGATATATGTTAAAGAGAAGGGCATAACTGGACATTCATAGCACAAAGTTAAATATTTCATCGAAACCAATATGTGGCAAACTAAAAGACTAATTTGAAATGACTAATAAGAATTGAGTGAGTAAAAAGAAGTTTCAATGATTTGAGGGACTAATTTCAAGCTAAAAAATATTTAACTTAATTGAAAAATGAAGTAGATAGAGTTTCTTCATAAAGTTTGGTTGAGGATATGTGTTATTAAGTTTTATCTCTTATAGAGTGTGAATTCTCTTGCTTTTGAAAGTATACTGAAGGCATAATGCATTAACTTTTGGGAGGAGAAATGAGAATTCCGTGTATCTTTTGTTTAGGCATGAATTGTACCATGAAAGAAACGAAGTAAATAATACTAAATAGAAAAACATGCCACTAGAAAACTGACATGACTCGAGGACTATTTCTCAAATTAGATTATGTTTAATAGAAGCCTTTTAGTTGGAAACAACTAGGAAAGTTATGATTATGACTAACTTAACGGAGGAGATGACTCATAACATAATGGAATGGAAGAATAGAATTCATGTAGCTAACCCCAAACATTTGGGATCAAGGCTTTGTTGTTGTTGTTGTTGTTGTTAATAGAAGCCCTTTGACATGTGCCAAAAGTCAAGAAAACCATCAGAAGCCTATGACAATAGTTCAGAACAACTATATAAACGTACTTTCAGTATAAATTATACGTTTAGGTACTAATTAGAAGTTAATGTATTATTGGAGGTCAGTAGTTTTTCTCAATACTTAAAATGGTTAAGGATGCTTCCTAAGTTTATTTCTAAAATACCCCTTCTTAGTAAGAAAATTAGGAGCCATTGGAAGCCTATGATGATAGCTTTAGAGTGAGTTGATAAATTTTTGAGTTTCAGTATAAATTATGACTGATAGCTAATGAAGCACTGAAAGGAGAGTTCGAAAGACATCGAGCTCTAGGGTTCAAATCTTAGAGGACATATAAAAAGCTGCATTTTTTTTCTTTCTTGAGTAATCTCGTGTGATTTTAAATTGCTATGTAAGAATAAATTGTTTATGGTTACTTTACAAATACATCACTGATTTTAATCTCTGACATTTTTGCAGAATCCTTTGGACAAGTATTTAATGACTGTTGATACATTTTCTATAATTATTCAAGAGAAATTTAAGAACTTTGTAATTGTTTGTATAAAAAGAGTAATTTTAGAAAACCTTCTCGAAGCATCACAAGATCTTAAAGGGATCAGTGATTCTTTAATATTCTTATTTTTAATATTTCCTTTAGCTGGAGAATTTTCTATTTTCAGTATCATTATGTCGAACATAGATTTCAAATTTAAATAGAAATACATACTTCTTATAAATATTCATCTAATTTGCAAGATGTTCAGTTAAACTGTCTTTGTAATGTTTAGAATACCGTGCTTCCATATTGTAGTTGTTTATGATATGTCCATATTTGTAATTAAATGGTGAAAATGACATGAATATGAGGTAGAAAATATGTGGGTATTGCAGACAGTATTTTAAATTTGATTTCTTCAATCTTCTTTACCATTCGTTTACATTCTACTGTTGTTATGTTGTGCGTCTTCAGTTGAGCTTTTGAAAGAAATTATCTGTTGGTTTTCAACTGTATTACTGTTCTCATATTTTCCCTTGATTGGATATATTTTTCCTTGACAGTTCTGGAATGACCTTGAACATGAGAGACCATCTTCAACAAATGGCTGGTCAAAGAATGATGTACCTCTCCAGTCAGTTATGAACTTTATGGCCAAAAAACATATTCTACTGCTCCATGCTGGAGGTGATTCAAAGAGGGTTCCATGGGCAAACCCGATGGGAAAAGTTTTCCTACCGCTACCATATTTAGCGGCAGATAATCCTGACGGACCTGTTCCCTTACTTTTTGACCATATACTAGCAATTTCTTCTAGTGCAAGGCAAGCTTTTAAAAATGAAGGTTATTGGTGATCCTTGCTCTGACAATTAAATGACTCCAGTATGCTAAACTTTTTTTATTTTACCATATTTTAATCTTGGAGTCCCTATGAACATGTCCAAATTTACTTAATTTTTTCCCATTTATTCTCGCCTTTCTGGATTTGCTTACATCGTTTTGCTCTTAATTATTTCTTCTGTGAGTGTACTTATATCCAGTATTCCAGAGAGCAAGTCATCTTATCATTATCTAGGCTATTGGTAACACTAGCATTGCAGATTTGTTTTCTTTTATTAATGTTATGTCGACTACAACATTCTTATGCTGGGCTAGTATGGGTGGCTATGTTGCATGAACAGTTCTATCATAACGCCGTACCCGTACCTGTACCTGACAATTCTCATACCTGTACTAGAAACCGACACTCCTTGAATATACATAGACATTTATTCAGATGTGTACTCAGTTATAAGATAGATGTATTAAGTTAAAACACTCAATTATATGATACATAATAAAAAAAACATAAAAAGTTTAAATGGAAATTTGTTTCCCATAACATGTTTATGAAAAAACAATATTGATATCATGTAAATTATTAATTTTCAACATAATATACAAACACCCATGTGTATATATATATATGCTCTCAATTCTCTTAACTGTTCTAGCCTTACAAATTCTCGCATATAATGTGCAGTAATACATAAATAAATAACTTATTGCACAATATGTATCCTCGTACCTGTATCATGTTTTATCTTTATCCTATACCTACACTGGTGCATTAAATGTATTTAGTGCAACAGATATATTTCTCGCACATGATTTTTCCATGTTCATGTGGAGACCATGTCTAGTCATTGAAAACTTGCCATGAACTCATGTCTGTATTGTGTTCTGCCTGTGTCCTTTATTACCATCATGTTCACTAAGTAAATACTTGATAATGCTGTGATCGTCACAGAAATTTGGGTAGGCAATTTGAATTGCTTAGATAGAGAAAAGCTACATTTAAGCTAGGGGTAGGTAATTTTAAAATCGGTGTGTTGGCGACACCACAAAAAAATGAAAATTCTCATAAGAGAGAAGCGAAAGCAATCACATACATGTCAGTTGTCCAAGTAGAGGTACCTACAGTTTGATTTCATGATAGTCATAAGGCTCTGAAAGTTTTTTTTTAATTTGTAAATTTTCATAGGCCATCTAGATCCTCAAAAATGGTGTCCTAGTTTACAGCATATGCAGTCACATGTATGTTTGCAGTTGGAGACACATGGTAAAAATTATACAAGAAATATATGTTTAAAAAGATACTACAAATCACACTACAATATTATAGATTTGGAGAAGTGGTTGAACAAAAGACTTGGAAGAAATCAAAAAATTATCCTTATCACGTCCTTTTCTCTCTATACATATTGAAAACACAAACTTGTAATAAAAATTGGCAAAAACAAAGTAAACCAACCTTGCTCGCAATGGAGGATTCTGATTGCTCATCTCATCTCCAGCAATTTCTATTGCTGGACTGGAAGTGTTTTCTATCACTGCTTCAGAAAGGCAAAGTAAAAGCTAGAAGACAAATCAACATAAGTTGTGAGGAAAGGATGATCGTATGACCATACAGAGCAGGTTGGATCAGATATGATTAACAAATTGATAAACCACTCCATCGGTAGCGTTCTAATGAAGGCGCTTTTCTAAATTGTTGGGTGTCCTGCTTCAACTTCAAACTGCTACTTTGTTAGGCTTGCTATAGCCACTGCAGCTCCACCAAATAATGCTCTTTCAAATGTTGTTTTTTAATGTGTGTTCATCTCTGCTATCCACTATTCTGGATAGGGTATACAAATATAATACAATAATTAGTATGCATTTACAGTAAATCTTTATAAAAAGAAAATCCAGGATACATGTCATTGATGTGATAATAGGTAAATTATGGCCTTTGGGTTTTGGGTCAATATTTGTTAATCCGTAACATAGATTTGTAGGGCTACAATGGTTAAAAAATACAATAAACTAGATTATGTAAATTACTTCCAAGTTATATATTTATAGATATTCATATTTCTTCTTTGAAGAACATGGACAAGTCATATAAATGCATGGACAAGTCGAATAGAAGTTCAAACTCACCATCCATGAATCATATTTTCATCTTAACTTCGTAGTTTAAGATATGCCTTTGACACGTTGGGATATCATTGTAACTCCTGGGATTTGTTAAAAGGAGTATCCATAAAATATAAAATTAGGTTGAGAACATATGTACTACTTCTATGTTAGATAAGAGTGCATCTCCTTTATCGAAGTATTTATGCAACATAGGTTGAGAACATAGGTACTACTTGTGTGTCATCACTAAGATTCGGATGATAGATGACAGTCAACGAAATGAGTTCATTGCTGCTTTTATCTAAATTGTAGTTGTTATCCCTTATGATCCTGTACCCTGCATAAACTTTAAATTGAATATTCTTGTTCCTGTCATAATTTGTTTAGCTACTGGTTTCATGATTTTTTTCATTTCGTGGCAGGTGGAATCTTCATAATGACTGGAGACGTACTACCTTGTTTTGATGCTTCCACCATCGTTCTACCAGCTCACTCTTCCTGTATTATCACTGTCCCGATTACCTTGGACATTGCATCTAATCATGGTGTTATTGTAGCTGGGAAAGATGGCACTATGAATGAGAATTACTCACTTTGTTTGGTTGAGGATCTCCTGCAGAAGCCAACTTCGAAACAACTCTCAGAGTCTCAGGCTATTCAGCCTGATGGTAGAGCATTACTAGATACAGGGATAATAGCAGTGAGAGGTAAAGCATGGCAGGAGCTTGTTACGCTTGCATACTCCTCAAGTAAAATAATTGTCTCGGAGCTGCTAGAATGCAGAGAAGAGGCAAGATATCTACCCTCTCTCTCATTCCACTTTTGTATGTATTATATAGGCATGCATGAAATGTTTCCATTTTCTATTATTTATATATATACAATTATATGTATGTCTACATGTATGTACATATGTATGTATATATTATGATGAGGGGTAGATGCCAGAAAAACTTGATCAGAAGGTTGTCGAAGAACTTATCAGAGGTCGACGTGAAAGGTGGCTAATCAGTGATGATTATAACGGGGCAGTGACCGGAGCTTATTAAAAGGCTTTGTTTGTTGGCTGAGATTGAGGAAGGAATAAATATATCAAAGCTAATTAAAAAAAAAGGATAAAAGATAAACGTGGTAGGCTGGATTCACTCTCAGCGCCTAATCGCAAAACGTGCTTCACTCTGTGGAATCACTCCAAAATTATCTCCCATAACTCGAGTTTTATTCATCAATTTTCCATCCTCGTTAAAATGAAGAATTACAACCCCTTTTATCGGATTAAACTAAGAAAAAAATTCAAGAAGGTAACAACTAATAAAATCCTATCTGATACTGATTGATAACATCGAATAAAATTGCAACTAATCAAAACTAATTAAAATACTAACTGAAATGAAAATCCCTAGAAAAACTAATTTCCTAATACTAATTCCAAAAAATCCAGATCTGTTTTTTCCTGCATCATATTATTTATTGTTAATGTAATTACATACTACATGTGACATGAACACATATTTGAGTTAATATAGAGATATACTTGTATATCAAATTTATCTTCTCAACATTGCTGTGAAAAATTTAATAACAAGTATACTGAATTTCACGCTCAGTTTTTGGATAATTCCGGCTTAATTGTTTTGCAAGCAATCTGGTACCTTTATTTGTGATGCAACTCGTTTTCTTTGCATTCTGAGAATTGTCACCTATATTGTAATGTCATGCTGCGAAATTCAAGTAATAACTGCATGCTTTGACACTATCGTTAGACCTCTCTTGAGTTAACCGTATGGAAATAAAGAACTAGTATTTATATTACATTTATCTATTTCACCAGTAAACACACATGCTGACATTTTAATTAGATCTGTTCTGTAGCATGATAACTTCAGGCGATGTTTGGGAGGCTAAAATTTTTCCAAAACCAGTGCAGTTGAGTTTATATGAAGATCTGGTAGCTGCATGGGTCCCTGCAAGACATGAATGGCTGAAGTTGCGTGCTTTAGGAAGAGAGCTAGTTGGTGCGTTGGGAAGTCAAAGGATGTTCAGCTACTGTTCTTGTATGTCTCATTTGGCATGGGTAGTTAGGCTTGTTTCTTGATTTTGTACTTGCTTTCTTATGAATGTGTCTATATGTCTCTTTTGTCTTCTTAATTTTTCCCTTTTAGTGTGCCTATATGCCTGCACGTCTTTCTTCTCCAAGATAGAGCTAACATATTGACATAATTTCCTTAATTAGCGATTACATTCTTATATTTAATTTATAGCTGAATTAGCATTAGTACATTTGTTTATCTTTAAAGCTTTCCTATGTAAGTCATTAACGAAAAGAGTTAGATCTTCCAAAGCTGCAAATACATCAAATTGGGATTCCCTTGAAAAGAAAACAGAAGTTCTATATGTAATCGTCTCCGCTTGAATTAAACTTGTTATCATTGGTTTCATTATAAGGGATTCACTGAAATCCTTTTATTTTGTTTATACGTTTCATTACTGTGACCAATGTAGCAACCACTGGGTTTGGGGTGATCAGGACTAGGTTGCTAAGTAAGTGGTTATTTAAGCTATTCCAAGTTCTAAATAATAAAATCATTGTCTGCTGAGGTAGGACTACAAGAATGTAATGATATGTAGACATTATAGCTTATTGCCTACCATTTATTTTGTTCGTACAAGTGCAAGCAATGCAGTTATAGTCCGCATGCACGCATTTCGTGATAATTATTTCCTCTCATGTGGTTGTATCCTTGGGACAGTATTGCTCTTAGTTACTAAGACGATAATTATTTCCTCTCATGGTTGCATCCTTGGGACAGTATTGCTCTTAATTACTAATGACACTAGTGGTCCAATGGATTTATCTAGTTATCGTTAAGACTACTACTACTAAGTATCCATCCGATTGTCTCTAGATATATAGGGATAAGATCTTACTAGTCTAGAGTTGAGGCCCTTCGAGTTTAGAGATTATATTTTCCCATTGAATAATATATCAATAAATGCTGTAATTGATACTTCATAAGACCTATAGCAGTAAACAGAGACACAGTTTTACTGGAAATCTACCGTTTGAATGGGGACAAATCTAAATGGGTATCCCAGGTGAAAAAGTTTATGGAGAGCCAGTCATAGCTGCCTCGCCCTTGCCAGGAAATTTTGCCACAGCTCGTAACTATAAAAGTTCAGTTAGAGAGTTTAATTTATCTTGTGCTCAACATTCCCATTGAAACAATAGGCTAACTTCTTGGTCACATCCAATGCTCAAATGCCAGACTAATCTGGGTAAGCCTGTAATGCTGATTCACCAGTCTAACCATTATCTCTGTAATATGAGCTTGACTATGCTTGAGACCCAGAATATTACGCTTGGTCTCTAAATTGGTTAAAAATCTTGGGGTTGATCCATCCACTTAATCGACCTGGCGGTCCAGAGCCAAATGAAGGTTTTGACTTTTGAGTACTTCCTGAGGATCGATCTAAAACTTGGTTATTACAATTTTGTATTAATTCGCATCATATTGCAAGGCCTCCAAACTTGATCTCTGTGCTCTTTCTTTAATTTCCCCCATGGAGGTGTCCTTCAGCCTGCTTCAGCCCTCAGTAGAACAGTGTGCAGAGAAAAAGAGAAGAAGAGGGAAAAGCCTTTCATATTCAGTCAAGTCAAGTGATTTAGCTTCTAAACTTGATGGATTCCCATCCTTAAAATTTTTAAAATAAATTGTTAAACCAGTTATTGTAGCGTCTACAGTGTATGAATTATTCTCACGAAAGTAATCAGATAAGGCTTCTAATGGACCCTGCTAACAATAATCTTATTTTGTTTAAATTTAAAATTATTTCTTCAAATGGTGAAACTTTTAGCACGCATGCATGGATCTACAATAACAGAAGGAAAATAAATGTATGTTTGTCTTTTCCTATGGTTGTAGCCATGTATGAAATTTCCTGCTTGTTTGTGTGGTTTGGTTACATTACATGAGCTGAGGCTGGAAGTGTCAAAGTAATGTAGCTGAGAATAGAATGTCAGTTCATGATTCATCTTCAGGCATGCTCATATTTATTTAATATGGACTGGCCCTTCTTTCGTGCACAAATTGTAGACAGATGGATTTGTGCTTATCTTTTATTTGATCTCTTTTCTTCTCATAGCAATAGTTTCCAGTCTCCAGCAAATATAAAAGGTCTACGAGGTTTTTTTTCCTATGATTTCAACATTTTTGTGTTTCCATTTGCAGATGGATTGTCATTCTTACACTTTGGGACATCTAGCGAAGTTTTGGATCACTTGGGTAGGTTTGATTCAGGTCTAGTAGGTAGAAGGCATCTATGCTCAATCCCGGAAACAACTGTTTGCGACATTGCTGCATCTGCTGTTATTCTTTCTAGCAAAATTTCGCCTGGGGTCTCAATTGGAGAGGATTCTTTGATTTATGATTCATCTCTTTCTGGAAGAATACAGATTGGTTCACAGTCCATTATTGTTGGAGTAAATTTTCAAGAACTAAGTGATCCTAATCAAAAGGGGAGAGAACGAACATTCATATTACCTGATCGCCATTGTCTTTGGGAAGCACCATTGGTAGGTAGCACAGAAAGAATTATTATCTATTGTGGTCTCCAAGATAATCCTAAAACTTCTGCTGAAGGACATGGTACCTTTTGTGGGAAACCATGGAAGAAAGTCTTGCATGACCTGGGAATTCAAGAAACTGATTTATGGAGTTCGACTGGCCCCAAAGAGCAGTGCTTGTGGAATGCTAGGATATTTCCTATCCTCCCTTCTTCAGAGATGCTTAGCGTAGGCATGTGGCTCATGGGATCGACAAGTTCCAAATGTCAAAATATGCTTTCTATGTGGAAAAATTCACGCCGTTTCAGCTTGGAGGAGTTGCATCGGACAATAGACTATCCTCAACTTTGTATGGCTTCCAGTTACCATCAAGCTGATCTGGCAGCTGGAATTGCTAAAGCATGTATTACCTACGGTCTGCTTGGTCGCAATTTGGCTCAATTATCTGAAGAAATTTTGCAGAAAGATACATCAGGAGTAGAAATATGCAAAGAACTTCTTGCACTCTGTCCCAGTCTTGAGACACAGAATCCTGGGGTTCTACCCCGTAGCAGGGCATACCAGGTCCAGGTTGACCTGCTGAGGGCTTGTGGAGATGAGTCAACTGCTTGCACAGTTGAGCAAAAGGTTTGGACTGCAGTTGCTAGTGAAACTGCCTCTGCAGTGCAGTATGGAACTCAATGTAAGTACAATCAGTTAGGTGCCCACTTTTCAGAGACTGTTATCATTCCCTTATAGCTTGAAATGTTATATGCTCACTTATTTGGAAACATTTCCTTTCTCTGAGTTATTTGTGTTTTTGGTGGGTACTACAAAGTGTAAGTCAAAGATTTTTTTGAACTTTATCCTGTAGTTTTTATATGAATAACTAGGTAAATCTCTTAACATTTAAAAGTTTCATTTGAAAAAGTTTCTTTATGCAATTGATTATTCTATAAGCTATTTTCGCTTGCTTCACTGCTTCGTGGTTCATATATTATAAATTTATAATTATACTGTCAGGTCATGCCCTTGATTTCCAAGCTGTGGTGAAATCTTCATCAAGTCCAAAGAATGAACCGACTGGAAACATTTTTCAGCCAAGACAAGCAACTGTTGAATTACCTGTCCGGGTTGATTTTGTCGGTGGATGGAGTGATACACCACCTTGGAGCTTGGAGCGTTCCGGTTGTGTTCTTAATATGGCAATAAGCTTGGAGGGTTTACTTCCTATTCGAACTGTGATAGAGACAACTGAAAATACTGGGATTCAAATTGTAGACGATGCTGATAGTCATATATTTATTGAAGATCCAACTTCAATTACTACTCCATTTGACAAAGATGATCGCTTCAGGCTTGTCAAATCTGCTCTACTTGTCTCAGGCATTCTTCATCGCAATATATTGTCAAATTCTGGTCTAAGAATTAGGACATGGGCAAATGTTCCTCGAGGAAGTGGTCTTGGCACTTCCAGTATATTGGCTGCAGCTGTTGTGAAGGGACTTTTGAATCTAATGGAAGAAGATGAAAGTAATGAAAATGTTGCTAGAATGGTTTTAGTTGTAGAACAGATAATGGGTACAGGAGGAGGATGGCAAGACCAGATCGGTGGGCTCTATTCAGGCATCAAATGCACTTACAGTTTTCCAGGACAACCACTAAGACTCCAAGTAATTCCCCTCATATCCTCTCCTCAGCTGGTTCGGAAATTGGAACAACGTCTCCTAGTTGTTTTCACAGGCCAAGTAAGTTGGTCATTTCTGTTTCTGTCATGACAGCAGTCCAAGCTAACTACTTGACATCTGGGTTCTTTAACCTTAATACTCTGGTCTGCTTAAGAAACATGCACATAATATTTCTTTCTACGTTTTGCTGTGCTCTTTCTCAATCATAGTCAGATGTAGTGAACCGTCAATAATTTCTTTCCCATTTGCTTGTGAGAAGTTTTAATTAACTACTACCCTTTTCACTTTTACGTGATTATAAATTAAAATATCATCATTAGTAACTGCCAATAGTTTAGGCCTGTAATATTCGGTGACAAAGTGATGGGTCATTCTCTACTTAGTTCCATGTACTCCATTGTGGATGGTGAAAACGGCATCAATGTATATGAACCTAGGGGTGGCAAACGGGTCGACCCGACCCGACCCGACCCATATAAAATTTGACCCGACCCGTATAAGTGTGACCCGACCCGACCCGACCCATTTAATAAATGGGTCAATGCGATCCGACCCGTTTATTAAACGGGTTACCCGACCCGACCCATATATAACCCAAATGGTAGAGAATACTAAACATTTAGTGTGGTTGTAGTAGAAACCTGCATATTCTATTGTACTCTTTTAAGTGACTTATGCACACAAAAACCAGGTTACTATTTCTGATATATTTATAAAGGTTCACTGCAAATTTCCACATTTGGAGATAAACAAAATATTGAATGGCTACAATGTCATTCTACATACATACGCATCAACTATCTGGGGAAATTCCAATCCAAAAATTGAAGAAAGCACAGCATTTTCATTATATACAATCTGAAGAAATGAACTTTTAAAACTACATTTTCCAATTTATACATTTTAGTGATTATTAGAAGTTTAAGAAAGTTTTAAAATCCACCAAATTCCTTCAGAATCATGAAACTTTCTTTAATTCCATCTACATTTTCTTCAATTCTTCCATAATCCCCACATAACTAACATACACAAAAATAAACAAAAAAAAAACCAGAATCAAATGTACGGATTGATTGAACAAAAGAGCAAAAATATCAGATCCAAAACATAGGTAAACGAATAAAGAGCAAACCGTTAAACTCCGTCTCCCTCTTCTCGATCTTCCCCTCCCAGAAAACAACATCAGCGTCTGCCATCATCGCCATCGCGGCCCTCGCCGTCTTCATCGGCGACGAGGCCATCGAGCTCGATGCCCCACCGCAGCCTCTGCCTCTTCCCCCGCCGGAGAACCTCCGCACTGAGAACTCAGACGAGGTCTCCGACTCACTAACATCAGCACTAGGGCTATAGCTCCCGCACCGATCAGAGGTGTCCTCCAACGTCACGCTCCCCATTTCCGAAATCTATCGAGAATCAAAACCCTAACCCAAAACGTGCATTGTAGAGAAAGGGAAAGTCTTGCTCTTTGTTATTCGGGTCAGCTTCTTTGGGTTATACGGGTCAGACGGGTCAACCCTAACTTACCCATCTAATAAACGGGTCAGTTCGGGTTGACCCGTTTATGACCCGACCCATATAACTTGACCCATACCCATAATAAACGGGTCGGGTCGGGTTGGGTTGATGGGTCGGGTCATAAATTGCCACCCCTATATGAACCCTGCTTGTTTACTACAATCTCTTCTATTGCACTGAAGAGGTGAACATTGGTAGTCCTTCCAGCTCACCGAGCTGAAAGTTAATTAGAGTCCTATACTCTTTCTCAACTATTTAGTACAAAAATAGTCCCTTAAGAGAAATACAATATACATTTTATTCAAGTAAGGTGAACTAGATGTGTACAATTTGGTATTGGAAGATCTATAAGTTGGCCTGGTTCCTTCACCAACCAGAGAAATCCATAAGGGGATGCCCAGACCATTCTCCAACTTTCAAGAAAGCATTAGTGGTTAAATATATGTGGGATATACACACTTTTCCTAGAGCACTTGCCCCAAGATAGCCATGAAGCCTATATTTTTATGTATTTAGAAGGAAGGGATTGAAAGGTAGTTGGCAACTTCTGATTTTGATGTCCCCATCGTCATTAACAGTAGCGACTTCTGAGTGAATCAGCTCTTGATTCTTATGGGCCCCTGCTGCACTTCCCTATGCAATCATATAGTTTCGGTACCCCAGGGATGAGTGGGAGTTTTGATCTGAAATAATTGTGATGGTTGCTCGATGAGATCTGCATTGCTCCATCAAATTACTTTCCTTGGAGTTTCATTTGTTCTTGAAATTCTTGTAGTAGGCAGGCATGGCTGGCTAGCGTAAAGGAAAATGTGGTTCCAACTGGTAAGGAAGCGTTCTTAACGATGTCAACCAGATAAAAATAAATTTACTAAAACTTCCTGTTTAACCAACATTTATCCACTTAAGGGAAATAAAAGGAAAGAAATTGTATGTTTTAATCTTTGCTGTTTGTGGTTTACTTCTCAAAATTCCCATTATGTTATATGCAACCAGCCCAAGTGTCTGCTGGAAAATATCTAATTAATCAAATGTTTGGAACTCCAGAGGATCAGCTAAATGAGCATGAAGAATTTGGGTTGAATGGCATGAGTGGAGTTTGCAGATCCGTAGGAAAGCAATGATTGTCATATTCTGATAGTGTGGCTAATGCTTATTAGCAGTTGATGTTTCTAGTGTCTGAGGGAGACAACAGAGAGATGTGTGATATGTTATTTAATGCACTAAATTATTACTAATTCACATTTGAGTTATATAGCGTTTTAGTTTTAAACATTTTGGAACCATGGACTTCATGTATTATTGTATAATCTCAAGAAGAGTTGAGCAAATCAACATATTAGCATAGGAAGTATCAAGATTCAAGTAATGCCTCTGGCTGTGCAGAAGTTGTTCAACGTTCAGTTGAAAGTTCAAAACTGAAGATTGGCTTTCAGATTTGGAGTCTTAGGCTACTTTAAATGTAAGTATGTTTAATCTTATATAACCTTATTTAGACTATGATGTCTGGCACAACGGATTCAAACGTAGTCTCTCTCTCCCCTCAATTCAAAATTTCAAACCATTAGAAGATCCCTTGGATTAGTTAGATTTCTCCTTATCCGTTTTTTGGTAATTATATTTTAATGACAATAGGTACAAACATCCTGTACACGTATAGACTATATACATCAAAGAGCCTGAAAACAAAACTGAACAAACTCCCTCAGTATAAGTATAGACTATAAGGACAATGGAAAAAAATAAAGAACTGATCTAAAGAAAACTTCATCTCAGACTCTAACTTTGACAAAGTACTGGAAAGATTGTCATCTTTGATTACCAGGACCTGTTCTGAACGGTATCTTTCATTTTTCTCAACATTCTGCATTATAATTTGATCTCAAATTCAAGTGTATCTCAAGCATTCATCAATGAACTCTGTTTTTTCTGGAAAATAAACAGGTTCTTTGCACACCAAATATGATATATGCATGAGGCCATAGTAGTTCTCTTTATTGCCCTAATAGCATCACGCCGCTTCCAGCCACTATTAATCCGTGCTAAGAGTTCATTCCAAGTATACGAAGCAGAATTCTCATGAACAAACTCCATGGCCAAAAGCCAGAATTGCATACGAAAATTGCATTTAAAGATTAGATGATCCCTTGATTCAAGGTGCATGTTGCATGGAGGGAAAGTATCATCTTCATTAAGTCTAATGCCTTTGAGTTTACTTCCAGTAAGTTATCTATCCAAAAACGCTGACCAAAAATTGAAAGCATGTTTTGGAAGAGTATACCTATTCTGCATCAATGAAAGCCATTTCTTCAACTCCATGTTGCTACAAGGATTGCATGAGCTGATAAGGCACTAAAAAAAGGTTGAGCTCCTTTCCAAGTAATATTCATTCCTCGAACGTCCACACATTTCAAAGCATCATCCCTTATCGTAGTAATTTTCTAAATGTTCAGGAGAAATGATTTTTAGATTGGATAGACCAGAAATCTCAATAAGAGAGATATATCCATTGAACATACTTTAGAGAGTCAGTTTTAAGCAATGGAGCCTAGAGATCACTATGTATCAAGGCTTTCTCTGACAAAAGCATATTGAAGACCAAGCCCCCCACACTTTTCAGGTTGACATACAAATGACCAAGCAACTATTAACATAATAACCACTCCATAAGAAATCCCTTCAAATTTGTTCAATTGCCTTTATAACCTTCTTGCGTATAAGAAAAGTACTCCCCCAATAAGCACACATTCTATATGGGACACTTTTGATAAGTTGTAACTTCTCAGCAAAAGAAAGAAACCTTGATGTCCAATACTTGATCTTGTAATCGTCCTCTCTATGAGAGAACCCCACAGTAGCATGAAGATGGAGACTTAGAATTTCAAGGGCCAGAACCCCTCAACAAAATGAAACAGTGAAGAGTTTAAAGTCTAACATTAAAGGAACCCCTCTAAAAAAATACTTGAATTAACTAGCATTGGCTTGAATACCAGAGGCACCAAAAAAAAGGATAGAATCTATCATGAGTTGCTGAAGCACCTCGACAAAAGATCATTAAGTCATCTGCAAAATAGAAGTGGTGAGATGAAATTTCTGACATGCTGGATGAAACTTAAATCCTTTCACCTCTCCCAAATCAACAAAAAATCTACTAATAATGCTATAGTTAACAGAAAGAGTAGAAAGACATTGGATCCTCTTATCTGACTCCTCTTCTCCCTGCAAAAATAGTGCTCATCTCTCCATTCACCTTGGTAGAATAGGACATTGAAGATACACATTCCATGAACCGTCTCCTGAACTTAAGAGGAAACCAAGACTTTATACAATACCGTCAAGAAAATCCTAACTTATTAAATCATATACCTTCTTAAGATCCACTTTGATAGTACATCTAGGGCATTTTCCCCCCCATACATGTGCACTAACTTTTGAGCCATAAAGACATTATGAACTTTATACTCTTCCCCTTAATGAAAGCACTTTGAGTCTCATTCACCACTGTATGAATTCACCACTGTATGAATAACTTTCCTCAGTCTATTTGTTATCACATTAGTTATGCACTTATACAAAACATTACAGCAAACAACAGGTGTGTAATCCGAGGCTGAATATTAATGGCCTTTAGCAATCTTGCTGGATGAAAGAAACTGACAACTGTATTTGTGATCTCCTTACTTACAATCCCCCAAGAAGCTTTATAGAATTTGGAATTATAACCATTTGGTTCTGGACTTCTGAGATCATTAATCTGAAGGATTTTTGCATGTTTACCCCTTAAATCTTCCATATTTGCAAAACTACCCTCTAAATCGTGGTATTTGCGAAATTGCACCCCAATTCCTCAATATTGAAAATTTCTACCCTTAATAACTAACAATGTTAATATTCAGACATTTTAAAGCTGAATTGACCTATTTATCCTTCTTATTATTAGTCCAAGTAAAGCACCATCATATATGTTTCATACCAGTAACTTGAGCATCCTCCATGAGACTTTTAACTTCAACGAGGGAGAACAACTGATTTGCCATGAGCTGTCTCATCGATATTTAGAATGAAATTGAAATGCCCTAAGATTGTCCCTGCATACTTCCAGCAATATTCCTGATACTCTCCCATAAAATAGCTCTAAGATTAGCCTGATTATATGCATAGAGGAAAGTAGCTGCAAAGACACTAGACAAACTCTGTTCATCAGTGTAATGAATCATTGAGATGTCACCCAAGTACTTTGAACAGATAACAAATGGCTATCCCTTATAACCATAATCCTCCCACGATGATCATAACCAAAATAACTTATAAATTGCCAATCAGAAACCACTGGCAACAATTTGAGCTAAAGAAAGCTGAATTTTAGTTTCTACCAGACCAAGCAAGGCTAAATTATTAGATTTGATAAGATGTCTAACCTCTCTGTGGTGATTTAAACACCTGATATTCTAACAACTAATGGATTCCATCCTGATTTAGAACCTCCACCCCTACTTTTACTCCTCAAATCTCTGTTTGCACTAGGCTTAGTTTTGCAAGTGTTTACATAGATCAACTATGCTACCAATGCTTCTGTCATCTTGCTCATCAAGAGGTTGAAGGCCATTAGTTGTAGTTAAGTGTTCTGGTGTAGAAGCCTCAACCACCGCAACATCCTTTCCTTTAACGTTCTTCACTTGTTGCCATCCCCTATCAGCATTATTTACTTGTTGAACAAAATCATCCTGCACCTCCTAGTGAGTAGGCACAAATTTATCTCTACTTAAACAATTTTTTTCTTGTATTTCTCTACTTTATGCACAAAACTTTACAACGCTCATGTCTAGGAGGGATCCATTCATAGTCAACTTTCTGATCAAAATCTCTGCCTTAAAGGCCTTTAATCTTTATAACTTTAGATAACTCATAATCAGCTTCCATTTCATTACTTGAGCAAATGAAGTTTCTCTCCTTCTTGGCTGTAATTCTATAAGTGCAAATAGAGTTTTCCAACTGCACTAGCTAGTTCACTTGAAGCGTTTTCATTCCATAGATGCAATTTAATATTGAGAAACTTCACCCAAATTGGGATAGAAGAAACACTCAGTTCATCCAAATTAAGGTCAACAGACCATGGCATCAACAATAGAGGCTTACTATCAAAGGTCCAATGCTTTTGTTCAAAATAGACAACTTATCAACTCTTGAAGCAAACTTGAAAAGGAATATACTAGATTACATGGCCGAAATATTGATCACTCCATGATCAGCCCACTTCTAAGCAACATAGCGCTTGATAGCATTGAAAGGTGCTTTAAATCCTAACACATACCCTACAAGAGCAGAATCCCATTCCTCTACACCTTGATCCCATTCCGAATCCTCAAATTGAATGCACTGCTCAGAAAATTGTTGAGGAACAAAGCTTGGATTCAAGCCATTATCCTTCTGCCTATTGCCTACTACAATATTGGTCCAAGATCTATCTTAATCATCATTCTACTTTACTGATTCACTAGTTGAATCCATGGCAACCGAAGCCGATTGAGATCGGTTAAATCAAAGAAAAAAGAAAAGAAACACTGGAAACTGGGCTTAGACCGGAAAGAAAATGAGGAAGAAGAACAAATTTGAGCTGGGAGTATGTTAGCATGCAATAATCGCCATTACGAGCACCCTCTTCTTTTTTTTCTCATCATCCTCGACAAATTTGTGCTTAGGTGTATTGTTAGGGAAATACTTTTATCAAAGATTTTTCTACTAGATTTGTACTTTTCTCCACCAGAATTAATGCAATGTCTTGTTTGACCCCAAGTCTTGGTAAGAGCCCAATGTCCTAGGAAGCTGAACGGCTTGTCACAGGTCTGAACAATAGTAACTGCTGCCGTTAGAGCTGACATCCCTTGACCTATATATTTCCATTGTGAGAGGATGTTTGTTCTTAAAGTAAACAAACAACTCCCTTGAGCAATTAAGCATTCTGTTAATTTAGAAACCTTCATCAATAATTTTTCTAATATTTCTCTTCACTGAGCTAAAGCTAAATCCTTTAGTGAAAATAAAAACTTTCTGTAAGTGTGTGATTTCCCTTGATCAAATGAGAGCTTGTGTCACTTCATCTCTCTGCAAGAGATTATCCTGTCTGTTTACTGCTTAAGCATACGTTATAGGTATTTTGATTTTATTCTATATTTTTTGTGCTTCAAGTGCACTTGGTGATATCGTTTTCTAGACAAGTGAAGTCTAGAGAACCCTTATATCTGTTTTTTAGTGTATTTATCTCCCTAGGGTTAGAGAGCGGTCCTATTATCTCAGGGTGTTGAGAAAGATAGGGGGTTGTAGACTTATAGTCCAGCTCACAAGAAAGTGAGTTGGAAGTGCTACTACTTGGCTTCTGGAAGAAGTCTTAATAGAGGATTTGGAAACAATCCTAGCAGGGTTGCTCGGTAGGTGGACATAGCCTGGTTGATAGGTGAACCATCTCTAAATCCTTGTGCAATTGTGTTATGGCTTCTTTCTATTTGTATATCTACATTTTGTATTGTCCATGTGTTGAGCGTTCCACTGATCTTTCCTTGCTTTTCTCATCAAGTATATTTAATGCTAATTAGTTCTTGATGTAGATATTTTAGTAGCATTTGTATTCATCTTTGAAAGTTCTATTGATCTTTCCATGGATAGTTCTTCTGAATTTTCAGTAGTTCGTTTATATTTGCATCTTTGTTTCATTTATACATGAAATGTAAATAATAAAGGTAGCGCAAAAGAGCATGTTTCACAATTTGGCTTAAATAGCCTTGATCCATAAATAGGTTATAATAACATTGTCAATTGGCAGAAATTTTCCCATTTGAATCCTACGAGTGGATACAAACTGATGAGAATTTGTGTCACATATTCAATGCTTCCCTAGTCCACTTAATCTAACTGCTATTATGTACTTCTCAATCACCCATCCACCGCTCCACCCAATATAATAACAACAAAAAATAGACAATATGAAAAACAGGAAAAAGTGCCAATCATTTGAGAAATTAGTCAAACTATTTGTGAGTATGAGTATGGGTGCTAGTGCGGGACACAACCAATTCGTAAAAGGTAAGGTATGGTAACATGGCCATAAACATGTATTGAATCTAACAATTCACATAAGATCATTATATTTTTATTTACATGTTATGAAAATTAAATTCCTATAACATTTCTATGTTTCTTTAATTATGTAGATTGTAAATTGGAAGTTGGAAAGCTGTTTGATTTTTGAACTAGATAAACAACGATCCCTTAAAAAGTATAGTTATGACCTAGGTATGGACTAAAACAAACCCAAACAATGTCCACCTAGTTTTAGAAAGTGGATGCGAAGTGTGACATGCATCCAAGAAGTGTATGATGAGTGTTTTAAATTAAAACTTGTATTATATAATTGAGTACATATTTAAATGTATTCATATATTCAAAGAGTGTCGGTGTCCAAGGAGTACCCAAGGAGTGGCCGAGGAGTGTTGATGTCCAGTGTTTTGGCCAATTACAGGCATGTGCGAAGTCAAGCTATTGCCTTGTGCAAAGTTGGAGTAACCCTTAAATGACATTTAATTTATGGCTAGCATCTACATAATAAAGGCCTAATCCTAGGAGAACAGGTAATCAATCTAAAGCGAAGTAAGACACTGCAAATAACATGTTGCAGGATTCAGTTTGAAGTCTTAAGACTCGGATTGTTCTCAGGATATTGTTGAAACATAAATGATGAAAGGCAATTCAACTAAGTAGTTTCCACAGCTTGTCTCGCAAAGATGATTCATAGTGCGAATAATGTCACAAATAAGTAAAATATCAATCTAAAACCTGTAAATTAGTCTATCATGAGTGCTTCAAAGTAGAACTCCTTCAGGCCTGTTTTTTCTCCAGCATGAAAATGATAGGTCTTAAATAAAGCTAACCTTGTTAACAGGCTGGTCATAATATCAAGGTTTGTGATAATTCTTCTCCTTCCAACACCATATTATATCCATTAAAGGCTTACCTACCAGGCTACCACATGATCAATCTTTGTTCTTCTAGTATATGATTCAGTTTCATGCTGCAGGCATTCTGTTCAGTAACCTTCTAAACATATTGTTCTTTATTGGTAAAGCATAGCTGAAAAATAAAAGTCATTCCATGTTTGCTTTATTTACAATATTCTCTCGACTTTGGATTGTACGTCCAGGTGCGACTTGCTCATCAAGTCTTGCAAAAAGTGGTAGTTAGATATCTTCGCAGAGACAACCTGCTGATCTCCAGTATCAAGCGTCTAGTAACGCTGGCAAGTATTGGGAGGGAATCCCTAATGAATGGAGATGTTGATGAGCTAGGAGAGATCATGCTTGAAGCTTGGAGACTCCATCAGGAGCTAGATCCCTATTGTAGTAATGAGCTTGTGGACAAGATCTTTTCTCTTGCTGATCCCTATTGCAGCGGCTATAAGCTAGTAGGTGCAGGCGGAGGTGGCTTTGCTCTGCTACTTGCTAAGGACCTCCATTGTGCTCAAGAACTGAGGCAAACTCTTGAAAATGCATCAGAGTTTGACGTTAAAGTATATAACTGGAACATTTTTCTGGGATAGTGTTCTAGTATATAGCAATTGCTGTGTTTTGTTCAGTCTTTTCATTTACTTTCCACAGCATCTGAGGGTAACTTGAGATTTGTTGTTGGTTTCCTGTCATGAGTTTGTTGTTTGATTTTTATGACAAGGCCTAATTGAAGGGTTTGGATTCACGTATTTGTATTTGTTAATAAACTTGTTTATGTAAATACGCATGATCCATATTTGTTAGTACACTCGTATTTCTTTCCAGATGACTTAAAGAGGATTGGGTGCATCATCAAGCTTCAAGCCTGAGTTTGATTATCATCATGTATATGCCCCCAATATGTTCAATTAATACGTTTATTTAGTGAAAATCTTGTTGCCTGCAGTTTGGTTCTCAGGAGACGAGAAATTTTAATTTGTGTACGAAAGTACATTCTGATGTATACACCATACTGTATAGACTCTGATGGCCTTCCAGTGCAAGCCGAGCAGATACATGACTTACCAGATAATGCTGAAAATTGTTCAAGCATCAGCACACAACATCCGGAGGAGGCTGCAAGGATTGTGATCTTCTAGTAATTATGCCAAATTCACATGTAGAGTGAATGTCAAGTGCAAAGTGTACTGATCTTCTAGTAGTTTAGTTTAGTTTGAGAGCTTGAGGAGGGAGGTTATCCAACCGGAATAAGTAGGGATTTTTATGGCCTTTAGCTAAGAGTTCAGTACAATTTGTTCTGCCCCCCCCCCCCCCCCCCCCCCCCCCCCGCCCCCCCCCCCCCCCGCCCCCCCCCATCTCCAAAGAAAGATGGGATACAGCGTGTGGTTTCATCATTTTCTCACTGAGGAAAAATAGTTTCAAGTGTATGCTGCAAGCATGGAGAAGTCTTAGAACAATAACAATGGAAAGCCGCAGAAAAATATCAAATTGTTTCGAACTTTATACCATGTTTCCCAAAATTGGAGTTTTCTAACACTAGGGAGAGAGGACACATTTTTTCTTTCAAATTACTCATGATGGGCAGGCACACTGGCTTTTAAATTTTTAATTTCTAAAATTGGAATTGTTCATGCGAGGTCCATCTGCCCCAATACTCTATAGCAACATTAGACAATTCTTTGATTGAAGAGAGACTCCAGAAGGGAAACATCAGGTTTCAAAACCCCCCGGAGTAATATGAAAGCATGATATGCTTCAAGTGTAAAAATACATAATGATTTTATTGACAATGTAATCCTCTAGCAATTCCTTGCTTACAATTTCAAAGGAAATATCACGAAAATTTCATAGGATAACGTGTACGTGTCTCAGCAGAGAACAATTTATCATAAGCCAGGAAAAAAACGCAGCGAAGACTTTTCAAAGAAGCGGCACGCCAATTATGTTCGACAATCAGCTATGGCATCATCACAAGATTGATTGGCAGGATATAACCATTGTAGAAAGTGATGTAAACCTATAACCAGTATCTCTCCTAATGAATTTAACATGTAGATACAAGTCAACGTAACTGAATAGTGTTCCCATGTTGACGAGCTATTATGCAAAATGCAAATACCTAACATATAAAGGCATTAAGTCTCCAATTCCAACTAAGCGGTTGAAACATCTGTCAGTTTTCTTTCTTTTTTCATGATTCTATCTCAACAAACAGGCTGGCTCGGGGATGGAGACCTGCTTCTTTGAGCGTAATCGAATACTTTTCAGACCCATAGGAGACACGAGGGAAGTTTGAGACCAGGCTGTATTTCTCATCATTCAAACAATCCAAAGAATCGACATATGTGTATAGGGACTCGATAGTTGCAGAACTCTGGAACCTCCTTTCCTTGCGCTCTCCATTTGGAAACCGAAAAAGAACCTGATAGCAATTGCATTATATCATTAAACTTGAAATAGAATCATCTCCAAGGCATTTCACATGCCCAATCAACAAAATTGCAAACGGTCAAATCCATCATCAAAGTTGTATATAAGCAAACAGAAATATTGATTAATATTGCACCATCAAAGTATGAAGGTTGATAAATATAATAAAACACAAAATAAAGAACCAACAAATAAATAAATGTGTCCCTTAGATTCATGAATCTTGGGCATCAGTCTCCCATATGTAATAGAAAACAAACTTAATTGCTTCTTAAACCCATAAACGAACTTAAAAAACTGAATATTTTTCTATTTTATGTCCATATCTGTTGACTCGTAACAATAGCCTAATTCTTAGCTTGCTCGCATTTAACTGCAAACAATAACCATCAAACCATAGATAGCTTTATTTATAATAACAAACCCATGCAATTATTAGAATTCCGTAATGAGTAACTTTCTGGATATGGAGTATTATTGTAACAGCATTACAGCAGGTAGATGCTTCAACCATCCAAGAAGTAGCAAGTTTTTTTCACTATCGAACAAGATTATAAACTAGAACTAGGATAGAACTAGGTCATTGATCTAGACAAATCCAAGAAGCTCTTTCAAAATTAGATCATGAAATGGTTACTTCTCATCAATAGATTGAGAACTAATTTGATTCACAAATCCAGGTTAAATTCATGAAATAGATACTTCCCATCAATATATTGAGAAATTTTTTTATGAATCAATCCCAAATATTGTTTAGGAAAAATAATCTTCTAGAGGGCGTGCGTTCTAGTATTATCTTGCTATCTTAAGTGGTCAACAGTTTATACTCATACAAATGAATAACCCGGTAATCATCTGAAAGATTTACTTGGATAACATATATACTTATCATTTCAACTTTCTTTCACAGGTTAAAACCCAAAGGACATAGAATACACCCTGGAAATGCCTATAGCATAACAGTCAAATATACAAACTCTCTACATGGATCTAAGGTCCAAAATTTTACCCATTTATAACAAAATCTAGTGTTTTAACAATATTAGTCACTTAAATCATTAATATTTTAAAACTAATCCCTCAGATTATTGAGATTGCTGTCACATCCCCCAATTCTTATAGGTTGTCCCAAAAATGAGGCCCTCAAATCATGGAAACTGCTATTTGGTCCCCAAATTCTAATAAGTTATCTCAAATTAAGTCCTCCAATCAAGAACAGCAGTAGCAAGATATATTAAGTGGGGGGTCTCATAGCAATTTCAATGATTTCAAAGGCTCATTTCAAAACATTGAAGATTTAAGGCACTAATCGTAAAAAAACCTTAAAAATTAACTAGATTGAAAGTAATTTCTGGCTGACGCACTTAGCTTCACCATAGTTTCAAACAGGACAAAACTCTTGAAAGGATCTCAATTTGTGCTAGAGAACAAAGTCCGAGAAATGCTCCACAATTTTTTGGATCGAAATTTATCACCTTAAAATTTAAAATTAGAATTCGGCATACATTGTAGAAAAACAAACTCTTTTATCAAATCCTAGTAGCAAATATCCTTGTAGTTGTACTATCATAAATACTAGGTGACCATTGCCAAACCAAGATAGCCAAATCATAAATAGAAAGTGTTTTCTAGACCAAAACTTTTAGAACAGATATTGCTGCCAAACACCAAGGTAATGAAGTGTTCTTTCTGAATTCAAGAGAATAGGCTTTTTTAATTCTTTCCTTTGCTGATTTCAATAAAGCATATGAGGGTGGTGCTGCCTATGATTATATACCAAAAGAGTTTTCTGCAATTTACTCCATTAAAAGACAGAAACTGATACTATTCCAACACCAATCTGAGGTTTTTGCTTTTCAAATTATAAAAGTTTATATTCTAACACAAATTATTACTTAATATTTCTAGGGTCTGAAATGCAAATCAATTTACCATGTCCTATAAATATTATCTTCTCAATGGTTGAATTCTAAACTGTACTTACTGAAATATCATACTTGGGTTCCTTGTGTGTTATAACTGTTTAGCATACATATTGATTTTAAAAACAATAGCTAGACGAAAAACTGTACAAAATTAGCCACAACAGAGGACTATATCAGAAACTCAAGAACTAGGCATTCTGATTATATAATCATGAAATTGGAAGCAAATAAGTACGCAATTAGCGAACCAATACATGACAATGCATAGTAGCATACAGATTCAGTTTAAGCACACTTGTTAAAACACAACCACATATACTACCTTCGACCTAATTTTGATTATTGATGACGTATTTTGGAACCATTTATAGCATGGACAACTGATGTAAGAAAAATCTACTGAAAACTCTTATGAAATCTATAATTCACAGGATGATTTTGGGGATGTCATCTCTGATTGTCCAATGGTTATACTATATGACAGTGACTCAGTGAGATTGCACAAGGAACTGAAATCCCACATAATGGATCAACATACTTCATGTTAATTACAAAGCCCTCCATCCCGTAGAAGCAGAAGTATAGCCTTGATCTAAAATTAAACACTCCCCCCTTTCCATCAAGATCTATTGTTTTAGGAATAAAATACTCCTCCAAAAGACCCCTAAGATCTCAAAAGATTCAATGTTTTTCTTTAACTCTTCTCTCATTTTCTCTCTACACTCATTCTCTATTTCTTTCTATCCTAACTTGTCCTCCCATTTTCCTTTTTCCAAGTTCCAACCCTCTCTTGACTATGTAGATTTTTCCAACCCTCTCTTGACTTGTAAATTTTTCTAAAGTCATTGTACAGCAAACTTTCTTTCCCCTCACTAAATCGAATACGAATCCTAACATCAATACCACCTTTATAAAGTGGGGTGATTTGCACCATAAACAAAATAGTTAAAAAAAAAGACTAACCCTCTACCCACCCGTTAATGGTATTGATCACCGTATTGCATGCGGGTGTTCTTATAATCTATACTCTCTACACACATATATTTAGTTGAGCTGGACTACTACTAATTGTATTTAACATGCAAATACTATCAACCTAAAATTACAATTTGGATTATGAAATTGAAGATCCAAATCGTTGGATGTAATCTAATACATATGAACTACTTAGAAACAAAATTTCAAAAGATTTTGATGTGTTTGCATCAAGGGCCAAAAAATTAAGCAACTTTCTGAAAATTCTATAATGTTAATTTCAACAGCATACGATACATGGGCAAAGTATGTAGTATCAAACATAAGACCACATGAATACAAATCTCTTCACATCACATGTTCACACATTTTAGACTTTTCCTACCAAAAAAATAAGTTAGCTAGCTTTATCCTTTATTGACCAAAAACACCATGAGGGTTAATTGCCCTGAATACATAAGTCTTCTTTAATCAATTGTTTAACATGTGACACCCTTATACATAGTCTTCTTTAACCAATTGTTTAACACGTGGCATCCTTCTCTCACTAGTTAGAAAAAGTGAACAAAGTAGGGACATATCCTATCCTTGGATGTGTATGTGGTGCCAAATCTCCTTATAAACTACATGATAATCACAAAAAAATTTCATAAAGGTAAATTGGGTTAGCCCTTCTTAATCTACAAAATTCAATAGATATATGAGTGAGATAAAACTCTAGAGACCCTCAAACTGATGGGTTGACAAATCCACCTCTTTATACAAGATAAGGGATAGTATAGCCTATTTATTTTTACAGGTAATAGTTAAAATCCTTATTATTTTAATAATGCCATAAAATAAACAAATAATTAAAATAAAATTTACCTAACAAGTTAATTAAGTTTATTCTTCTTAATAGGATAACTAGGTTAATTAATCCTTCTCCTTAATCTGGGTTGCTTAAACCTCAAAAAAAGCTAAAGAGAGTTTGAGAAAGCGATGCAGTTAGAAAGTAATCGAGCGTAGGAGAGAGAAGTTGGAAATAAAGAAACGAAAATGAGAAAAAGAAAGCAGTGAGAAGTTAGGAAGTGAAATTAGAGAAATATATTCAATGAGAAATTTTGGGTACAATAAGAGATAAAAGAGTTAGAGAGAAGGATGAAGAGATGGTTTGGAGAAATTTTGGATATTCTAGACCTTAGCAATGTTGTAAAAAAATTACTTTTTATTATCAGATCATGTATTTTCTATGAATGAAGTCTCTTGAGTTGCCACATCCACTTAATTTTGTTCTAAAACATTCCAACCGTGTAGGAACACTACATGCTTATGCAGTTCATGGTCGAAATAGTAAATTTAATTTCACAGAGGCAAAAAATCACAATTTCATGATCTATAACTCACAATGTCAACCATTTTTAGTGGTTTTGACCTGTAAGCAAATAATTTCTTGAAGGCCCTTGATTTTTGGCTATTTTTAGTTATTTTGAGTGGTAGGCAAATATTTCCAGGAAGCTAAAACTCACAACTTCATAAGCAATAGCGCACGATTTTTCACCATTTTTAGTAGTTTCGATTTGTTGGAAAATAACTTCACAAAGATTATTGTTGATGTCAGTTACCTAACAGGGAGTTTAGTTAAGAATTAATATGGAGTTAGGGACCACAAACTCCTTCAGATGGCTGGTTCGAGAGTCTGTTGTTCTTCTCTATACATGAATAACTCGTGAGAGACCGAAGTTGGGTTTCTGGCTGTTCCTCTGACAATCAAGTCAGTATTTGAGCTTGAGTGTAGGAGAACCTAATGAATTGAATAAGTTCTCAGTCTAAATGTGCAGAAAATTGCATACCTATGCTACAGATAGTCCCTCTATTTATAGTAGGTTCAGAGGGGCAATTAGGCAACTTGAGCCGGGTCCAAGCAGACAGCTAACCCGACAGACAGCTGATAGGTGACGATTGTGGGTGACAAGGGTCATCCAGGTGGTTAGTGCAAAGTGACAGCAGCTGCTTAATGCTGACTGGGTCTGATAAGTCAAAGACTATGGGGGCTAGAGCAATGATGACTTTCGACCGTGCATTTAATGTGATGATGACTGGCTATTGGCGGGGGCTCGAGGAGGACCGCCTTTTGACTCGACGTGCTGAGAAGGGACGACTCGACATGACAAGAAGGGACGACTCTTTATAAGAAGGGCTAGAAGTACCGCCTTTTTAGTCGGCTACACAAGTTATCGGCTAATATAGCGGGCCGAATAGGAAGTCTTGAGGGCTTGACCTGGAGAATAGGTCGACAATTATCACATCTCGAGTGGGCCATGTAACTTGTCAGCCTATGAAGTTGGCCGCAGGAGCGGTTCGAGTTGTCTGGGCTCTGATCATGTCTGATCTGACGTGAAGCGAGACATGTGTCAGCACCCTAAGAGTATGGATGGAAGTTGAACAGTTGTCGGTTTGAGACACCCGAAGCACATTTATGAGGAAAGCAAGGCCTTAAGAGGCAAAGGACAATTTTTATGGAGTGGCAAAACAAAACATCAGAAAGATAACATTTCAGATGTATGTGGCTGCAAATATCAACGGAGGGCAAGCCACTCCCTTTTTTTGGCATTCTCATAAAAAGGAATCGAAAGCTAATTGTTTTTGACAAATCTCTTTTCTAAATATGGTTTGTAGAATGCATATTTAAATTTGTATCATCTGACCAGGAGCGGAGCAGTGATGAGGCCCATTCTAGTAAAGCCTCCCTATAGGCCAATGCTCTGAAGTTTGAAGATGTGCACGAACTGAGGTTATAATCACGGATTTATCTCTAACCATAAACAGTAGCCTGTGGTTACTGGAATATCTGTTAACAATTCAGTATCTTAAATTTGATGACTTTTTGTTGGAGGTGCTATAATTATTTGTAATTAATTTTAAAACTATACAATATATAGTGTTAAAACTTTACAATTATGATCAACCTATTATGAACATTGATCAATGATCATATGCTTCATAATATTTTAAAAGAATAATCACTGCAATTATTCTCTAAACAAATATCCTCTAGGGGCCATTTTGTACAAGCCATAGGTCCCTCTAATTATACAAGTTTAACTTGTTTTTGCCGACACACTTTTATATCTATGCAAATATGTTCAAAATGGTAATATTTTGTGATAAATATTATTGCTTTCCACAATAGTTATAATGAAACATGCTACTAAAGTTATAGTCATCTATACAAACAGAACTGATTGATTTACTTTGATGAGTCTAGCTTACTATATCAAATGCTATTTTTCCATGTACTCACTTCTATTTCCTGTTGTACTTTGTCTACAACAGGGCGAACATAAGGTCATTGCATTGTGATGAACTTACATATGAATAGTTACTACTATGTTTTTTCTGCACTAACTTAATTAACATATTACATATTATAGTTGTTGGTAAGAGAAGAATAATCAAATCGGTATAAAAATTGATTTTTAACAAACTATCACGTGCTAGAGAGGGAGTTATTTAATACAGGGCATGATAATAAATCTAATGGTTACCTGTGATAATTATAATTGCTACAGACAAAGATGAGTTTTCCACACAACAGAGTAAACATCAGGTCATTGCATTGTGAACAAGAATTTACACAAGAATATTTACGACTATGCTTTTTTCTGCAGTAATTTGATTAACATATCATAGTTATTGGCAAGAGAGGAATAATCAAATCGCTGCAAATGATTTTCAAAAACTATCACATGATAGAGAGGAAGCATTTAATACAAGTCATGATAATATATCTGATGGCTACCAAGGAAACTGGGAGGTTCCCATCTAAAGGAACTGCAGTCAACCCTTATTTGGATATTTTATGAGATATTGTACTAAAAACTACATTCAGCAATTATTTTGACGCTAACTTAAATCTAGTCAAATAATCTTATAGACAATTGTGACACTTCAAAACATTTCTTAGTATGTTTGAAGGTAATTATGAACTATGACACTATCAATTAGAATAGCAAAAGGCTGATACAAAACGAAATAAGTGTCTCCTACAATTTAACAAACATGTGAAAATTTAAACTGAGGGTTAGGCTAGAAAATGTTATGAGTGTAATCAGTAAGCTAATTAGTTCTTACTTGTGTTACATCAGACCCTTTTTCAGGTTCTTCACCCAGTTCCAAAGCCTTCTCTTGCCGTCTTCTAACTAAAGCAGCTTGTCTCTCAGCAGCTTCCTGAGCTGCTCTTTCTGCAGCCTCTTCCTCCTCCTTGCGTTTCTTGTAAGCTTCTGCAGCTTCTCTTTCCAAGCGCTCCTGCTCTTCTTTTCTTTGGCGCTCTCTAGCCTGATGGCATATAAAAGTTATTAGATTTTATATCAAAAATAGCGTCAAGATTTGGCTCCCATAGAAATGTCTCTGGCTACTGTTCCAATCAACATTCTCCTGATCAAATAAACCAATGAGAAAATGAAGACAAAGAAAAGATGGATACCCGATCAGCTTCAAGTGCTGCCCTGTATGCAGCATCTTGCTCCTCTCGCAACCGCAAATTATTTCGCCTTTCTTCAGCCTCGAGCCTTGCTGCTACAAGAGATGTACTGCACTCTTCAACAACTCGTTGTAGGATACTAAGCATTTCTTCTGGAGTCTGGGGTCCCTCGATCTAACAGGAGGCAACAGACAGATAAAGGAAACCATTAGAAAACCAATATGTACGCAAGCTATACAAGACAGAAAGTGAAGCACGAGTAGCTTATTGATCTTACCAATCAGAAAGAAAACCAACTATACATCAAAAGAGCAAATATATCCAACAAGAAAGTGATGAATATCATTCCCAAACTAACTAAAAATAATAGATCCCACAGGTTGAAACTAACAAAAATATAAAAACAGATGATCAATGGAATCTTGAATAATCTTCACATACTCAGATAAGAAGAGGTAAGAACCACAGAAGCATGTTTAACATGATGGTATCCTGCATTAAATACTAACCAAATGAAGAGACTACAAACGTTGAAACTAATAAGAATTTAAAAGAAGATAATCCATAGAATCTTGAATCATCTTCAGAGACAGATATATCGAAGCAGGAAGACTCTGGAGGCATGTTAATTGATTTCACTAGTATATGGAAAATAAAGGGGGAATTCATTGATTTAACAGTAATGAGTAACATAATGACATGGCTTTCATAGCGGGAAAAATAAAATTCCTGCAGGGAACTAAAAGGAAATAAAATAGCAAGTTAAACTGAACAAGAAAAATTATTAACAAACTCTTCTGCTGAAGATCTAGGACTGAACTCCTAGGAAGTTGCCCTCATCATGGTAGGCAGTCTACCTTAGGATTACAAGATTTAAGGGTACAAAGTAATACTTTTAAAAACGAAAACGACAAGAGATAAAAGTTTGAAAAAGCTTCATTAATTTATTCTCATCCTTTTTATATCCCATTAGACGCATCAAATTAACTATTGAAAATTTTAAAACAAATCCACTGTTAGTGAAGTCATTCAACCCCAAAAGATAGTGTGAATATCATAGCCTGCTTGGACACATCACATCTCTTCATGTGGTTATTATGAAACTGTGTCATAACAAAAACCATCCATGCCCCCCTGCACTAATCCCACAAATCTACACATCTATGCGAATCAACCTCATCAACGATGTAAAACTCATTAATGAATCGCCAAAAAATGATATTAGAAAGACATGGTGTTGATGATGAAAGTGACTAGGACAATAGAGAATAACTGAAATCAACAACGGTAAGATATGAAGTGATATCTCGCATGGTTGTGATGGAATCTGCATAACTTGCCATACTGATGCAGAATATGCTAGTTAAATTAGAGCCACAGCAGCATTTTTTATTGTTAGCCAGCACTTTGATTTAGGCTCACACTTGTTACACCAAATGATGTCTGGAGTCTTGAGGACTCCTCAAATGATTTTTTCCTAATCAAGATCATGTTTATTTTTTCCTAGTTGATGGTCGCTGTTGCATCAAGATGTGCAAGAAGGTTAGGAGTATCAAGGGGTCAAGTTTGTGCAGGCATCTGAAGAAATTTGTTGGTGTAATAGGTTGTAAGATTACAAAGGATTTGTGCAGACATCTGAAGAAATTTGTTGATGTACTAGGTTGCAAGATAACAAAGGATGATGAAATATGGAATCTTTTTTTAAGGAAAATATAATTTCAAGTCTCCTAGACATGCTGACTACATCAACTAACTAATTTATTTAAAGAAGAGAAGGAGCTAGAGCAGGTAAATTGTAAGAAATGACAAGATGAGCAAAAGTAAGATAAAATATCATTCAACAAGCTTTCATATAATTCTACCTTTATATAGGTTATTACAGAGTATAATATTGAACTTTGAAATACCATAACGAATACCTAAAAATATGATAGGAAGACCTCAGAACTTGCAAACAAAGATGATATGGGACCTGCTAATTTGGATCCTCAGCATGTTATGGATTCTAGGAATGAATGATTAAAGAATAAATAAATTAAATCAGTAACTAATAGAAAATGCATTCTGTACATGATTTCGTACATGATGAATTAATAAATTACAGGACTGATCCATTTATAATTATGCCACGGTGATCTTTCATAGAAATATGAAGAAGATAGAGGGAATTCAACTTAGAGAACAATTAATCAAATTTTCTGACAACATCTTTTAGCTCGTTTGATCAAACAATACATGATATTCAAGAACAATCATAGTTTTTTATTGTTTTAGCCATGTCAAAGTTTCAAACTAGATTTAAAGATAAGACATATAGTGAACTAATTTTGAAATTAGCCCTATTACTCCAGTAAGACAAAGAATCACATCCTAGGGAATCACACCTTCAACAAAAAAAAAGGGAAGTCAAACCTCAATAAAAAGAGGGAACCACACCTTCAGAGAAAAGAAATTACCCCTCAATCAAACAATTCACTATTTCTCTATCAACATAACATAGCTTCTTCTTCTAATTATATCAAACTATTGAACTAACTAACCAATACACAAAGCCTAATCATTTCAAATCTAAAATAACAAATAAGAGAACCAAATGAAATTTATAACCTCTTCTCATCATATCAAAAAAAAAAAAAAAAAAAAAAAAAATGAACCAAATGAAATTTATAACCTCTTCTCATCATATCAAAAAACAAAAAAAAAAAAAAAAAAAAAAAAAGATAACATCTAAAAGACAAGAACGAAACCAGTCCAAAACAATCCAAAGGAACTCATCAATTTCCAAATTGCAATGATGTTGTTCTGTATCACAACAATAATTTTTGAAACTTCCATGTTCTTATAGAATAGATAAGTCCAAGCTAATAGATATGTGAACAAAGTTAATTGCACCTAAAGCAAGTTCTACCAAATGGCAAACAAGTACCTAACGGAATAGACTTGAGATGTTCTCAATTTCAAGGTTTGAAATATGAACTATGTTTTAGATTCTATAACGTATTTGTTTCTCTTACCATCCAATACTAAACAATGGTTTTCTTCCGATATATTACTTGCTCTTTAGTGTTCCCAAGTTCTCTGATGAGCATGTTCCATGGCATGCAAACTCAAAAGGACCAAGTCTTAATAAAGGCACAAAGAGACGTGTCACAAATTGGAACAACAAATATCTAATGAGATAAATAGTAACATATTGAAAACTGATTAAACTCAGGATAAGAATGAGTTATAAATTAAACGTATAATTATGAGGAAGTCTTATTCAATCGACAAAAAACCAATTCTTGAAATACTAAAATCCCAAAGATACAACATAATGTTTGCTGAATCATCAAAAAAAGGACATCAATACTCCATGAGCTACCTTTTAGTGGTTGAATATCCTAATGTTCAGCTTAGATCGTCACAAGATTCTTCTCTTTTTACTCCCATCTTTAAATGATTTCCTTTACCATTCTCCCACACGTTTATGCATCCATCTTTGTTCATTTCTAAACTTTTCTCAATGGGACGTTCTGACTAAGAGTTCAAACCAAAAACCATCGTCCAAAAATTCCAAAAATCAACATTTTTCCTTCAAGTCATCCCCATCCAAAACTAAGCTCGCTGAAATCTCAAAGTATAACATTAAGATCAAACAAAAAAACATCAGCTCCATAGACTGCTACAACATCTCTCAAGTTCAATAAGCAAGCAAAACAAAAGAGAATCCAGAGAGAACAAGTCACCTGCAGCACGATCCTCTGATTAGGGGTTGTTTGGTTGTAAAAAAGACCAAAAAAATGTGTTATATGAAACCTATTTTCCATGACATTCTTTTTTCTTGTTTGGTTCTCACCTTGAACAAGAATTTAACAAACCCAATTCATGGGCTAGAACGAAACTAAAGAGAGTATAAAATTTGTTGTTAATCATTGATAGACTTAAAAAAAATCATAAACTAAAGATTAATGTTAATTCTAGTACACTTTTATATGATAAAAGCATCCACATAACCATATAAAAATATTTAAAAGAGTTCATAAGAATCCCTTTTAATGATTCTTGGTTATACTAAAAAATTAATCTATTCTATAAACTTCGGAAAACAAATCTTTTATTATTTCTGTTCCATTTTCTAGTAAGTTAAGATCAATCCAACTCTAGTTTTATCTTTATCCTGAGCAATTCTAGAATTGTGTCTTCATCGTCTACATTAATTATGATGTCAGGTTGGAGTTGGATTTCTTATGCTGTTATTTTTTCCCGAGCTCGTTCATCTTCTATCTTCTCGTCTTACTACACAAAGAAGTTAAATGTATTTTTAATATTCAACAAAACTTTTAGAAATACAAACTTTAATTATTTTGTGTTTCAATGAGATAAAATGTTAATTTCATATATATAAAATTTTTGTGTTTCTAATATTTTTTAAATAAGGTCAGGAGTTACATCTTTTTCCTATAATGAATTCTTCTGGTGTACATCCAATAAGAGTTTCTGTTATATTAAATAATATTATTTTTGCTCTATTGTATCATTTTCCACAAGAATCTGAATTAAATAATTGTATTTTTCATTATCAAATTGCCTTAGATTATAATGTTAATATTTGATTTTGATATGTTTATTTCATGAAGAAGAGATATTACTCAACATTGGTACTATGTCATCAGTGATTTTGTGACATTTATTATTTGGACATTCTTAGTAGCATCTCTATCCATCTTTTTGTTTTAGCCTTTGCAAGCTAGAACCATGGCTCAACTCTATTGTAAATGGTAGTTATCTTTACATTATAGGTCCAATAGTGTGTCTGTATATTGGTCGAGTATTTTTAAGTTTAATTGTGTAAATTTTAGAGTAGGTCTTGTAAGAACACACTCTTTGAATGTTGTGACGATTGCATACATCCATAGTTTAAATTTATATTGTATTTGTAAAAAGCCTTGATAGATATACTTTTATTTTAGTAGCTTGTTCTAAATGAGCCATGCATATTGACTTTAAAGTGTAATATTTTTTTTATTGTGTTATATGTATATATCTTTGATCGTGTCTTTAAAAATTGATCTTTCATTAGTAGTCATATTCTCAAATAAAGTTACTTGCAGAGTCATGCCACTATATAGGAAAAATAAAAATCTCAATTTTTAATTTTTTACTTACGCTATTGTAACTAGGTATCATATGTA